TCCGAACTCACGATAAAAAGTTTCATGGATGATTTTACACTTGGAATCTGCTCGCACCATCCTTATAAATTATTCAGCGCCAGCCATCAGTCATCACGAAAATACTGTCGTTCATTTAAGTTTAATATGTCACGGAACTATTCTCAGATTCCTGTATGATCTAAGGAATCAGTTTCGCGTATAAATCACTATAAATCGATGCAATTGACAGCAGTGACATTTCATATTTTTGATATCTGACTGACATTTCAATTTTTCACTTTTGATTCTTCCTTGGTACTTGTGGGAGTGTATGGCCGATTGAAATATCTCCATCGAATTTTTCGATCATCTCTGTATAGATTTGGAGAATTTCAACATTATATGATTCATTACGTATTGGACCAATATTGGATGTTTGTATTTTGAATGAAATCATATTTTCTGCTCTGCAGGATATAAAGCCAAAGTAAGTTTTTTTTTGAGGTTAACATTTTCAGACTTGTAAGTTTCTTTTTATAACTTCAGAGCTCCTGTCTTGTATATTCAACAAGTACCATTGTGGAAATAACTGACACAGACAATTCACAACATCGGGATTGTTAAAATAACCCTCAGCTACAAAAGAGGTTAGTATTATCTTTGTCAGTCAGCATGATCATTATGCAATCAATTGAAGTGAACTCAGACTAGTATTGTTTATTTTTAGGGTCCTAGTCCTAGTCTTAATTCTAGTCCTACTCCTAGTTCTTGCCCTAGGCATAGGCTTCATCCCACTATTAGTACTATAGTACTACTGTTCACCCTAGTCCCTGGTCATTGTATGTCTGGACCATAGACTCGTGCTGGTATATATCATATACATCTACACTACTTGTCTAGAGTTTTCTACATTGGTTAACAAGAATACCTGCAGTTTTTGCTGTGTCTTCGACAACGAGCAGTCTTCCAGTTGAGGCCTGATTGCCTTGACCAGAGAGAAGAGGGATTCAATCATAAGTAACGCCATAGGAGCTCCACTGAGCATTCAGATAAGTCTGTCACACCATAAAACCTAAGGGAATGCCCCATATACCTGTATAAATTTTACATTCAATATTAAGTTGTAAGCTTTCCCCGTGACGTCACATGAATAGCCCTTCTTAGGACCTTCCCTATATTTGCATCAATTCAATGTACAAAACTATATATCTGAAATCTGAATGCTCTCTTGAATGCCATTTCACTTACATAAATATAGATATGGTGTTATCATATGATTTGAATAGATAGTTTCAAGGTGTATGACTATTATTTCTTCATTAATCAACCCCAGGGTACTTGAAAATTTTACCAGATATTTGTAAATTGTTGACTCTACCGATAGCAGTGGTTTATCCCTTTCATCAGGGTGGTTTCTGATTTTGGCTAGCGAAAAATCAGTGGCGCACCGGAAAATTTACCCCTTCATTATATACTGTTACTCATATAATTCAAAAATACATGAACCGTACCCACACCCTAACTGAGCAGCTGGGAGGGTTAGTGGCAAGTACTTTATCTTTTGCATGAACCCTGCTTATCAAAACCTTGCCCCTAACAACTCAAATATTGTTTGTCGACTACCTAATTGAAACGATTTTATAATCGTATTCTCAGGCTTACCTTACACCCAATAAAATCCCATCTGGAGATACCAAACAAATGATTTGGATTTTCTCAAGTATTTCATTTCAATTTGAGTTACACTACCGGGACCTTTTTTTTTTGGGAAACGTGCTAGAGGGTATTCGAACCGATCTCACGTTCTCAAAACAACCATCAATCAAGGCATCAGTCTTTTCTCGACACTCGAAGTGGTTACTCGGTTCTAGACAGCTTAACTGACCAGAGACGCCTCGAATACGAATTCACCATGTTTCATTTTTAAATATACACCATATCAACCTCTACCAAAGAGCTTTCGGCACTATCAAAAAGATCCTCGCAAGTATTTAAAAAGTGTTCAATTCTTCCCCTCTGAAACACCAAAGAATACTTGTGTATATTTAGATCTCACAGTCCCTCAGTTTCTAGATATGCGTTTTTCAAATAATACAAAAAAATATCATTTATGCAATTGGTACGTATAATTTCCGTGGACACACTATATCATGTCTGTGGACTACTGAATTGAATTTTTGCCCAAACAATATTTTATGAGCAGTTTTTCGTTCTCAAATTTAGATACTGAAATCTTCCACTTTTCTGAGAATGACCCACAAACAGACTTTGAGTATAAATCTTCAACTCTGAGACCTTTCTGTCATACCAGATGGTGCTTGAGAGTAGTTTCATTGAAAAGCATTTCGAAAAACTATCAATCTCCTTTGAAGTTGTAAATGATGAGTAATGAAAACTATGATGCAGGAGTAAGAGTAATTAGTTTTTTGTCTAAGCTGCAGAGTTGTTATTAGATATATTCGAAAGAGTTGAGATCGTTAACGGCAGTCTTCAAAAAATAGATAAGTCCATCAATGAATCTATAAAGAAAGTAGCACTTTTGACTGAAATATTCACTGGATCTCGAGAGATTAATACAAAATTGGATTTTTTATAGAAACCATCGATGGAAATGATCGATGAATGGATATGATATTGAGATGCCCCAATTGCAAAGACAAAGCAAGTTGCCGAAAAAACTTGGAAACCTGCAGAACATCTCTTTCCAAAGACTCTTTCATCCAACGAACAGCGAGACCCTGGAACACATTGCCAAGGGAGGTGTTCCCCGAGGCATATAACCTTTTTCTCCATGTTCTGGTTTCCACGAGAAGAGATATCCTGTAATGTTCAGAAATTTAAAGATTAAATTCCTACTTATTTCCCTTGGTTCTCACGATGTTCTCTGAACATTACAGGATATCCCTTTTCGTAGGAACCAGAACATGGATTAAAAAAAACTTTGAAGTTCTGATTCAAGGCATTCAAGGTTTAGCAGCCAGATTGAATTCAGGAGCAATTCAAAATGAGTTGAAATTAGGAAAATTCATACTCAATACAAACATAAAAGGAGATATTTTGGAAGAATACGGTAACGATTTTGATGTATCCCGAGTCATTTTGCACAAAGAAATGTTTTTCGATGTTCATAAAGTTGAAAAATTTTCCTCAGTTCTTGAGATCACCAAAATTCAATGAAAATAATCATTTGAAAGACATTCTTCCCTAATATCTAACAGAAGTGAAGCTTTCTTCAACTATTCCAACCACTTCGTAAACTGCTGAAAGAAGCTTCAGTGGTCTGAGGAGACTCAAATCATATCTTAGAAATAATATGACTCAGAATCTTTTGAATGACATAATTGTTTAGACTGAAAGTGACAATACTTCTTCACGCCGCCTATGGTCGAGCAGGCAATAATTATCCGTTATACCTAGAACTCTTAATTTTGGGATATAAGGGTTGTTTATTGTGCATTTTTAGCACCACTAGTTTAGAGACAGTATGTCACAGACCTTGTAGTTGAATAGATGGTTTTGTCTGTGAATATCAACGTTACAAATGAATAAAGAAATCCAGTAAATATACAGTCCATTAGTTGATTCATTAAAATACACCCCATTAGTGTAACAATAATCGAGTTGCAAACTTATTTATCAGTAGAAGTACCGAAAGATTGGAAGTTTTCAGTAAAACTTGGGTAACCTATGATTTTATGTTGAAATGTTTGAATTTTTATGTTTTGTTTTATATGTCTATTTGATTATGTTTCAGTACTATTTAAAATGTTGTTCTATGTCCTGATATTGTCAACCTCATATGTACCTGACCTGAATACTTTACTCAGGTAACCTGAGAATTGTTTTTTTTGTTTTGTTTTTTTTTTTGAAATTTTATTCATTGTTTCCAACGTGAGAGTATTAATCTGATGTAACAATTTTTCAAGAATGAAAAATTATGTGTTCAGTATTTCATAATAATATGAATAGCATTCACTATTTACTTATTTTACTTCAATTTATTTCGCCCCCCTGGAGTATCCGGGGCCTATGTGCACTATCCCTCTTAAAAGTTTTACAGTGGAATCTGATAGTGACAATCCAAATACTGAAATTTCCAAGGAAAATATATCACCTCAGGACTGGATCCAAGTTAGATAAAATTTACCAAAAATGAACCAGCATTTCAAGTGGGATCCGTTGTTAAAAAAGATGGCTTCAAAATTGAACGCACTAAGAAGTTAAAAGCAGACATCCGTTAACCACAACCAAAAACAACTCGTCGAGGAAGTTTTCATGTTACAGTCGAATTTGCTCATTATAATAATCAGAAGTTTTCATCAGAAGTATCTACCTACCAGTTCAGTATCTTTTTTAAAATATTTGTTCTTGAGGTAAGTCGACAATGAGTCATATTTTTTTTCAGTATTTAGGATTAATTTATTCAATATTTTGCATTTTTTATACACTTTTTTTTTATCATCGCAATATTTCTGACCCCTAGTTTCGAAATTTGCAAGCTCATAACTGTTTTGTGTCTGATTTTTACAAAGTCTGCAAGTGCCAGGTGATATTGAATCATTTGAACTTTATTTACACTTTCCGTTCATTTCGATCATCATTTGCTGGTGGAGGGCAATCCGAATCCTTATTTGGGGTAAGCGTGAAATGTCAATACAAAGAAAAAATTAAGTTACAAATTACAAAAATACTAAATATGATAGAACAATGATATTCATGGCAGAAAGAAGACACACTATCAAATCACATACCGAAATACCTCCAATAAATTTTATTTTCCCTTTGTTGACGTTAAATTAGCAAAAACGGGTTCACACTTATTCTATTCATCCTTATGTATGTGATGTATCATTTTGTTGTGATGATTATTATAACTTTCAGATGGTTCGGAATAAACCAACCGACAATGTTCGCATCTTCTTCCATAATATACCCTGAAGGAGCTGTTTGAATATACGCAATAACCCTTCACGCATGATTAAGAATCAATGATGAATTATTGTTAATTAGATGGTTATTATAGAAGACAATTTACTTACATACAGATAAATTCCTTCCGGCAATATTATTCACAGTAGATTGGCCTATTTTCATCAGACTTGGTGCCTGGAAAAAGAAAAATAATCAAATGATCGGAGTCTAATAAATATGCACTATTCATGATAGAAATTGAATCGTCCTGATTGAGTATAACTCCGCCATCTGATGATTTAAAAAGTTTCATTGAATTTTCATCATCAGAGAAGAGTTCTAAGCAACTCTATATTGTTGCGAGACTATCTTTTGCGGAAGGCCCCATCGAGATCGCATCGCCCGGGGATGTGAGCGACATCGACTATTCAGTATTTATTGATGTCAACGTCAAACGACATTCGCATTATCCATTTTAGAACTCCCAGAGAAGCGGTCGCGTGAACATCGATCCTTTAGTATTAGGAGCCGAATTTGATGTTGCCATTAGTTCTGTTGATTAGTTGAGTGTATTTTATTTATTTGTGATCGGTGTTATAGTTTTGTGGTTTTGAGTACTTTAAATATAAGATATTTTTGATCATGTCCCCGAAAACAATTGGGAAACAAGGTATTATTATAGATAGTCAAGGACGAGGAATGGTGAATAACGACACTAATTGCATAAAGAAAGGGGCAGAAGAAGGACCAACTATTCCTTTAAAAAACTACAGGCAATTGAATAGTATAATATCATTTGATAATTAATCTGTTGTTTTTTACTATTCTTTCATTAACACACTGTTCTCTTTGTTAGAAACCTTGATTGTTTATATTATTTCAAGCAAAAATATTGTTATAATTCCCTTTGCTCAAAGTACAGGGTGGGCCAGAAAGGTGTACGATTTTAAGAACACTCTTGCGTTTGAACCTTAGGAGAGGGGGCTACGCTGGTGGCGGGGTTGAGAAGCTCGGTTCTCGATAATTTTGTCGAAATTGATCACTTCACCGGAGCGCAACGTACATTCTCCATTCAACATTATTACAAAAATGGCGATTCGTGCGTTAACGTTCGGCGTTTATTTCGGCGTGAGCGTGGATTACATGACCTAAATCAGTGTCCGAAGGAATGTGTGATTCGATCGTGGGTCAGAAAGTTCGAAGCAACTGGTTCAGTTCTCAAACAGAAGTCTCCGAGACGCCCAAGGTCAACAAGAACGGAAGACACAATTGAACAAGTTAGAGCTTCAGTTCAACTTAATCCTGGTCTATCGACTCGCAAGCGATCAGCCAAACATCTTTGCGCCGCATTTTGTTGAAAGATCTGAACTTGTACCCATATAAAATTCAACTTATGCAAGAATTACATCCAAATTATCCAATTTTACGACGAACTTCTGTTGGAGCAATGTTGGAACGCTTCCGGAGTTTCAACAATATTCTGTTTTCCGACGAAGCCCATTTTCACTTAAATGGGCATGTGAATAAACAGAATTGCAGAGAACCCACGTGCAAAACATCAAAAGCCTCTGCATTCGCCGAAAGTAAGTGTTTGCGCGGCCATATCAGCGCACGGAATTATCGGACCCTATTTCTTTCACCAAGGGCAATCTGCCACTGTAAATTCTGACCGATACATAGCCATGTTAAGGGATTTTTTCTTTCCGCAACTGCAACAATTTGAAGCCTATAATCATGCGACATGATTTCAATAAGATGGCGCGACATGCTATACATCTAATGCCTCTTTGGCGGTCGTAAACGAAATGTTCGCTGGGAAACTAATATCGCGCCGAGGTGACCTTGCATGGCCGCCTAGAAGTCCGGATCTAACGCCACCGGACTTTTTTATGTGGGGATACCTGAAAAGTAGAGTCTACTCCAATAACCCAGCCACGATTAACCAGTTAAAGAACAATATCCGAGAAGAAATGATAGGTATTCCCCGCGCAATGTGCCAGCGAGTTTTTACCAATTGAGGTTCAGATTCAAGGAATGTTTTCAGCGCGATGGTGCACATTTGGATGATATTATTTTCAAGAAATGAATTTCCCAGATGTATATTTTAATTGTTTTTTCTGGCCCATCCTGTACTTGACTCATGAGTTTATATATGAAATTATATTTCAGGAAAAGAACAATGGCTGCTACTGGGGTGGTCTTTGTTTACGTATCAAAAGGTATCAAGAGAAGCTCAAAACATTGCTTGGGAAAGACCAAGCACATAATCTTTTGAATCTCCGAAAAAAAAACGAAGAAAAGAAAGAAAGAAAAGACAGTAGGATCTAATCTCGCCAGATAACATAAAAATCATAGGGGAATGTATATGATTTGTATTTATTAGAGAAACGACTTCCTACGTTAGAGGGTATGAACTCGCTTTGTTAGATTTATAATACTCAAAACCTGAAATATGGGTACAATTTCAGGTGTTTAGCAAGAAATTATCGACCGGCTAATTTTAGAGGAAACAAGCAGCTTGAATCGGCTTCTTAAACAAATGGGATTTAGGTAATAGTTTTGAATTGTACAATGGGTGATTAAAACCTTGACGTGTGTCTTATTTATTTTGATAAAGATGGCAAGAAATGCCGGACAGAAGGAAAGTTTTGTGCGAATCCTACGACGTATGTCTCAAACGAATAAATTTCTTCAAGAACCTGATGCAATACCGTAAAGAGGGCAGCAGTTTCATTCATATTGAGGAAACGTACATTCATAGCAGCCAAGTTAAAAACGAAGGCTGGTTTGATGAGACTTTGAAGGAAATAAAGAAGCCCATTTCAAAAGGTCAACGACTGATTATTTTACACACTGATGGTGCTCAGATTCATAAAAAAAGCTTTACTAATATTTCAATCAGGTACCTAATCCTAATTTGACTCTTTGATGGAAATACATAAATTGCTAGATTTATTAAACGACGATGTCGACACTCAAGCTTTTGGAAAATATTTTATGGATAACTATGCTAACACGTTTGGAATCGCTACACATAACTATTAAATATTTTTATTCAGGGGAACCCAAAGTAAAAAGGTTGAATAAAGGTATCTACGTCGTTTTAACCTATATCAGAGATGAAATTGTTGGAAGAACAATGAAAAATATTAAAGGAAAAAACACACATCATATTTCAAATATTGACAAAAGACATATGAAAGCTACGAATTGTGAATTTAAAATGAACGATGATCCATTATCCAGTTGGACCTTCTCTAACAACAAAAATTCCTATATTATTACTAAAAATGCGTCCTTCATTATATTTGTATACTGTTACGAAATCAGAGTTTTTCAATAGAAATAATAATTAAATAATATAGAAATGTTAATATGAACATATCAAGCTCCGTTGAGCAAATGAGCGTAAAAATCAGTCATTTGAACGGTCTAGCCAATCAGAGGCTAGCGTTCGTGTTTAGCGCAGTGGGAGGAGCATAAGCGAGTTTTGGCAGCAGATTTAACTATCGGTCGATTTTCCGCTAGCTCCACCGACAGCCGTCCAAGCTTAGAACACGTACCTGAGCGCTTAGAAGATTAACCGTTCAGACCCTTGCCGGTCGTTGGTGGAATATTGCCTAAGCCAAAGTTACAAATCTACCTGGGAAGACAAATTAAGAAGCATTTGCATCAAAGTTTAGAAGCCCAAACCACAACATACGTATCCTTTCAGGATAATCAATAGAATTCGCCTTTTACTTTGATATTTACTAACATTGTATTTCTTACAGAGAAGCAGCGACTTGGAATTTTATAGTCTGCCGACCTTTCAGGCAACTATAAGGCCCCAAAGCCCAGCAGTTAGATCTTGTCTGTGAGTCTAAGTGTGGAAAGCAAGGTACGGCAAAGACAGCACTTGATAACTCACTTTGAGACTGTTTTTAACCGTAGTGCCCCTTCACAAGGGCTTCCACATTAAGAATCCGCCTGATCTGAGCCTAGCAGTAACGGTAAGTGAACAAAACACCCCATCCCTCAATATATATAGAATACACGGAAACACAAACTTTTTGTTGGGTAGTAGCCATGAGTGGCGAAAACCAGTTATAAAAAGAAGTGCTTGGACGTGTCATAAAACCAAAAACATAATAATTATCAACATAATTATTAAATAATAAAATATCATCATGCCGTCGGACGATGAAAACCGCAGGAGTCGGAGCGGGTATAGAAAAACTAGCTTAACAACTCCCAGCGAGGAAACCAAAAAATTAAAAAGAAAACTCAGGGAGGAAAAAGCTCGCGATGCCGCCCGGGAAGAGGAGATAAATACTTTGAGAGAAAGAGCCCAAGCAGCTGAAAACGAACGCTTGGTTCAAATAGAAAAAACGCAAGAAGCTGAAAATCGCGCTAAAGCCCTCCAAGATCAGCTCTTCAAGCTAACAGAGAAAATAGATCGTTTGACACAAACGATCCAGGATCTGCCGGAGAAACTGCAGCCAAAGCCCCTCCCCCTTACGAAACTACCAATAGTAGCTAGTAAGAAGGGAGACACCGGTACGGGCGAGAAAGTTAAAAATCAGAAAATTCCAACTCCGAATATAATCCCAAAAATGGGAAAAACCTCACCCCAGGCGGAATCGTAAGCTGGTCCCTCCAAAAGACAAGCTGAGGGGCAAATTGCACCCTCAGAATCTAAAAAATCAATGGCGGAGGCATTGAAACAAGCCCCCCCCCCCCCAAAAAAACCGGTAGTAAACGAAGAAATGGAAGTGGTATTGGACCCAACGGGTTAACTACCACCTCCAATAATCCTGCGCGAAACTGAAGGCTGGAATCAATTATCCAAAGCACACACGACTAAAGCAAAAAACACCGCGAACGGAATCGCGATTCAAACAACCGACGTGGAAAACTGGCGCAAAGCCACTAAATTTCTGGAGGGTAAAAACCTAGGTTTTTACACCTACCAATTAAGATCAGAAATACCACTACACGTGGTATTAAGAGGACTCCCAGCAACTATGAAAGCTGAGGAAGTGGTAAAGAGGACCTTATCGAGCAAGGTTTTGAAGTATTAGAATGCCATCAGCTAGTATCTAGAGTAGGCGGCAGAGGTGCACTGCCGCTTTTCTTGGTAAAAACGCCTAAAAACGGCGGAGAAAAACATTTATGACGTTGCGAGGTGTTGCCACTTGGTGGTGCGGGCCGAA